TTTGAGACAGGGTCTCCCTGTAGCCCCAGCTGTCCTGGAACTCACTATGTAGACCAGGCCGGCCTTGAACTCACAGAGATCCGCCAGCCTCTGCCTCCCGAGAGAGTGCTGGGATTAAAGGTATGCGCCACCACGCCCGGCCAGCGTTCCTTTTTTAGCTCTGGGTTTGTATCTTTTCTATCTTGACAGACTGTGTAGCAGAGTAAATCAGTGTATTTCAAGCACCTTATCTACAAAATGGTTTGAATAATGCCTGCTACAAAAGGCTGCCTTGAGGAGTAAAGCTTTGAGATCTTGGGATCACTGATAAATTCAGGCAGATGTTTGGATAATGATCTAAACAGGACACGAGAATTGCTGACTTGGAGCTCTGGCTCGGGGTCTAGAAGTGCTCCCAATGCCCATCCTTCACGCCCGGCTCCTCCTTCAATCTAGGGTCAGAAGGCTCCAATCTAGTCAAACTCCTGCCACAGCACAGGAATGCGACGCTGCATTTTCTACTTGTGGGCGTCAGTCGTGACTACGCCAGGACACCCTCAGAGTAGGACCTCATCAACAGTGCTCCTGGAGTAGCTGGCAGGAAAAGAAAGGTGTAGCACCCAAGGACCACTTCCGCTTCCGGTGGCTCAAGCGCTTTCATTTCTTCGGCGGCCGTGACGAAGATGGAAGTGTTTTTGGAGTCGCGGGCCGGGCACTGGGCCGGGGGTCCGGTCCCGGGTCAGTTTTACCGCGTCCGGTCCACTTCTGGCTCCCTCACAGATCCAACGTCCGCGCTCCACGACTGTCCGGTCACGCGGACCCAGTGAGTTGTGGCCGGCGCCGGGCGGGTCGAGGAGGTCGGCTGGTGCGGAGGGCCGGGCCGGGCTCGGGACGCGGGGAGCCTGCGCCGCCGTCCTCAGGGACCTCTTCACTCTTCAGGAACCCCATGGTGACCGGGACGTCCGTGCTGGGGGTGAAGTTCGACGGCGGAGTGGTGATTGCAGCAGACATGCTGGGCTCCTACGGCTCCTTGGCTCGCTTCCGCAACATCTCTCGCATTATGCGAGTCAACGACAGCACCATGCTGGGTGCTTCTGGAGACTACGCCGATTTCCAGTATTTGAAGCAAGTTCTCGGCCAGATGGTGTAAGTCGTCTCCAGGTGGAGAGGAGAACCCCCCGTTTGCTATTCCCTTAAGTGGGATGAAGAAATTTGAGGCCGAGTGACTTGGGGAATTGTTGAGGCTCAAAAAACAATGTGTTTGCAATACCTTGGGGCATTTGGGGGTGTAAAATGGGATAGACAACAGGCGGGTGTAGATTCTGGCTTCCATTATCATTCCTTTCTCAACCAATTGCTTTTAAGGATTGATGAAGAGTTGTTGGGAGATGGACACAGCTATAGTCCTAGAGCTATTCATTCATGGTTGACAAGGGCCATGTACAGCCGTCGTTCCAAGATGAACCCTCTGTGGAACACCATGGTCATTGGAGGCTATGCTGATGGAGAAAGGTTGATTTAATAATTTCCTTGATCCCTAATCTAGCACCTGTCTCTCCAGTCTTAAAAAATATTCTTTTACATTTATTTTGTGTGTATGGGCTGGCTTGTGCTACAGCGCATGTGTATGGAGGTCAGAGAACAACTTGGGAGTCTGTTCCTGCCTTCCACAAGGTTCTGGGGCTAGAACTTGGGTCATCAAGCTTGGTGGTGACTGCCTACCTACTAAGCCATCTCACTGTTCCTGGCCCCCTAATCTCTAACCCCAGGGAATTCCCTTCTTTTAACTCAGATCTCATGGTTCCATTTTTCAGCTAAGAAATGGGAGATTAAATGAGTTTGATCTGTTGTGTCCTAGCTTCCTAGGTTATGTGGACATGCTTGGCGTGGCTTATGAAGCCCCTTCACTGGCCACTGGTTATGGTGCATACTTGGCTCAGGTAAGTAGTGGGTCTAGCAGTGGATCATGCTGGGCAGCTGGTTTCCTTTGTATAAGGAGGATGTCGGTATACTACCTTCCAGCATACAGGAATCTGAGGCAGGAGGATCAGGAGTTCAAGAACAGCTTGGGCTACATAACAAGACCCTGTGTCAAAAACCAACCAATCAAAAAAAAACAAAAACAAAAAAAACCCTAAAAACCAAAATAAATGCCTGGTGAGATGGCTGGTTGAGTCAAGGCCCTTGCTGCCAAGCCTGATAACCTGAGTTTAGTCCCCAGGACCTGCATGGTGGAGGGACAGAACCAACTTTCCCAAGCTGTTCTCTGACCTATGTTGTATGAGCACATACACATATACAATAAATAAGTAAATATAAAACTAAGTGGGCCTTAAGCACTTAATTCTAGTAGGACAATAGAAATCTTTTCATTTTGCTTATACTTTGGGTTGGGGCAGATAGCCTACTACTAAGCCATTGTCTAATTTTTCCCTTTTTGCCCTTTTTTCTCCTTAGCCCCTGCTTCGAGAAGTTCTAGAGAAGCAGCCAGTGCTGAGTCAGGCTGAGGCCAGAGAATTGGTAGAACGCTGCATGCGCGTGCTGTACTATCGAGATGCTCGTTCATATAACCGGGTGAGGCGTGGTATCAAAAGTAAAAATTCTGGGGACCTGACTTAATTGTCATACTGGGTATTTGCAATTCCTTTGTCTCTGGAAGTTAGAGAACAGATCACCTCACTTCTGTTTTCAAATGGGGGAAAGACCCTCTAATTAACCTTTGTCCAAAGAGTTCCTTCATTGGATGGTGGGTGTTTTGAGTGCTTTGTTTTCTTTCAGTTTCAAATTGCCACTGTAACTGAAAAGGGTGTGGAAGTAGAAGGACCACTGGTGGCAGACACCAACTGGGATATTGCCCACATGATCAGGTAATTTTAATCAAAACTACAGTACTGAAAAAAGGATGACAAGAGTTGGGAGGTCCCTTGGCTCTTCTGGAAGAACCAGAAATTCCCTGGGTAGAGGGTTTTGGTTGGAGGGTAGAGTTCCTTTTAGAAAAGTCTTTGTCTTTCACCATTTTTAATGTTCTTTTTCTTTTTAGTGGTTTTGAATGAAATACAGATACATTGTCCAGAGTTGAAGTTGTACCCTTCTAAATTTGAACTTGGCTGGTTCAAAGATAAGATTTTTGTAAAATAAAGCAATCCTTCAAAGTGTTTGCTCAGTGATCTTTTTTTGGCTTAAGATGGTCGCACTGTGTAACCCATCTGCATTGGAACTCAGAATGTAGACAAGGCTGGCCTTGAACTCATGAGATCCTGCCTCTGCCTCCCAAGTGCGGAGGTTAAAGACTTAAGCCATATGCCCAGCTGCTAAGTGGATTTATTCCAACTGGGTCATATCAAGAGCTCAACTGCCAAGTGCTACTGTGTGCCATATCTGTGCTGTCTCCCTCCCTGGACAGAAAACTGTTAGGCTCTTTGTGTCAAGGCCAGAGGCTGATGTCAGATGTCTTCCTCAGTCACTCCTCACTTAATAGGGTCTTTCACTGAACCTGACCTTAGCAATTCAGCTAGACTTGCTAGCTAACAAGCCCTTGGGAATTCTGTCTTTATCTCCCTAGCACTGGCATTCTAAGTGTGCACACTGTAGCCCAAGTGCCAAGGATTGAACTTGAGTCCTTGTTTACATGGCAAGCACTTCACTTGATTAAGCCATGTCCCCAGTCCCTTCACTAGAACCCAATCAACACCCTTCCTTTATACACATCTATAGAACCACATCTCAGTACCTCAAACTATTTCTTTATACGCTTTTGGTATCTTTCAACTTAAGAGTGCTAGCTATTCAGCTGGAAACATTGCTAGTGAGTCTAGGGTCAGTCTCTGATAACACAGCTGGCTTAGATGTATTTTTCTTCAATATTTTCTCCTCATTGCACTAGATTCTAAAAGAATAGATTTTCTGGTTAATGATGGCTGAAAATGATTTTTTATTAAAATGCAAACTCAAAAGCTATGCAGTATGTAGACCTCCTCTGTAACATATCTCTCAGCCACAAACCACACACATAGCCTCATGGTTCATTCAGGAAATACTAAGTATAAACATGTGGCACATGTTCACTAAATCTCATTCTAGCATTTGGAAAACTTTGCAAATGTGTTGGTTCTTAAAATCCAAAGTGAGGCTGGGCATGGTGGCGTATGCCATTAGTCCCAGCACTTGGGAGGCAGAGGCAGGCACATCTCTGAGTTCAAGGCTAGCTAGGGCTATAGGGAGACCCTGTCTCAAAAAGACCAAAAAAAAAAATCCCAAGTGGGGACTTGGAGAGATGGCAGTTAAGAGCACTGGATTTGGTTTCTAGCACCCACATGGCAGCTAACAACTGTCCCTAACTCCAGTTCTAGGGGATCTGATGCATGCTTCTGGCCTCCACAAGCATTGTGCAATGCAGGTACACTTATATGTAGGCAAAACACTTATACACGAAATAAAAATTTAAAATCCTAAGTGGGGGCTGAGGAGGTGGTTCAATTGCTAAAAGCTCTATGCAAGAAGACCTGAATTTGAGTCCCCAGAACCCATGTAAAAGCTGGGATGTAGTAGGCTCAAGCGCGAGATGGCAGGCAGAGGTTTAGCCTAGCACAGGAAGCAAAGCCACCAATAAGTTCTGTTTCAAGGAAGGTGAGGACCAACACCCAAGATTGTCCTCTGACCTTAACATGTATGCCTGTATTCACATGAATGCACACAGGTACCCAAGAAATCCTAGGGCTGGTGAGACGAGATGGCTGTGCAGGTGGAGGACCTAGCACATGAGCCTAATAACCCAACTTTAATCCCCAGAGCTCACAAGATGGCAGGAGACTCCTGAGAATTGTCCTGACCTCTACACATCCACTGAGGTGTGTGGGTACCTATACTCAGACCTAAATCCTGTGTAGCCACGTCAAGTCAGTTGGAAATTTGTAATATTCCATCCCTGGAATGGTTTTAAACCTTGAGTTTAAACCATTGATTCTTAATGCATGAGCCTCTTTCAACCTCTTTTTAAGAAAGTGACATAAGCAGCAACAGATTTAACAGAGAATCTTGAGCTTTTTAACTGAGAACTTTGACATACTCAAGTCTCAACACAGTTGTCAATAAATACATGTTTATTGATATAACTGAATTATAAAAAACCAAAACAAAAAAAAAAAACCTTCCTTCTACTACTAAGCCATGCAGGCAGTCTACAAAGACAACTTCCTTGCCAAAACCCAGCTGATCCACCGTTACCACAATCTTAGAAAAAATGACCCATCCAAAGTCAATGTGCAGAGGCCAGAAACTCCGTTTTGCTAAGGCTGTGGCTGCTGCTGAAACTACCAAAGAGGACGGTGAGGTTGTAGACAGAAGCGACCAATTATAGCTCTCCAACTTTCTCAAAGGCAGAAGGTTGGCTTAAAAGTCCAGTCCGTCAATAAAATGGCATTGGGCAAAAAGCTGGGGGAAAGGAAGCCCAGGTAGATCCTTAGTACGGTTTTTTGATGCCATGGATTCGGATCTGGCCACTCCGGGGAGGGATTGCGCCAGTTTGCTATATTATAATGTGCTGGGAGTTTAAAAAAAACAAACCGGAGGGAGAAGAATGGGTGGTAGCAAATATCACACCTGTACCACCAGGCTGTCACATCTTGAACATCTCCCAGTCTGTGAAAGCCTATTAAACAGGGTCACCTAGAAAAAGTTTATAAATCCATTTCCCCTCGTTTTATTAAATGTTCCACTTATGTACACTCTAAAGATGAACATTTACAAGCTTGTGCAGGTTGCCTCCTTGGGCTCACAGGAGGGAAACGGTGCTGAAAGTCTCAGGATGGATAAGAGTGGTATAGCTGTGGAAAAGGTAGACTTGGTTTTTTGCTCTTTTTCTCTATGTTACAGTACATTTTGGTTTGTAACCATAAGTACATAGTCTTTAAAAAAAAAAAAAAAAGATCCCTCATGCAAATTGTAGAAAAAATTTTCCTTGAAGCTGACAGTAAAAAATAGATTCATGTCTTTTTCTTTGTGCACACCTCCACGCTTTTTCTTCATATCAGTTTCTTCTCTAAGCATTGAGAGAATGGGAAAGCCACAGGTAAGCAGTTCAAGTGGTCTCTGTCAAGTCCAACACTTAGAATATGCCATTAGCTCCTGTGATGTCTCGAACAGGTATGATGTCCGCTTAACAGGATAAAGTTCAACAAAGCAGGGACTTCCCTAGGGGTCTAGAAGGATGAAGACACACAAACTGGAAATGGCTTCTGCCTGAATACTGTCTGACCACCTCTAGTACCTCTTGCTTGCTAAGGACAGGTGCTCCTTTGTCCAGAGTATGGACAGTATGAAAATGGGGCAAAGGGCCAAGGACCACAAGTGCAAAAAAATACTGTTTGTTGTGTTTCTTTTGGAGGGTGGAAAGCAAAGACAATCTATTCATTCTGGATAATTAAAGGTGGTTTCATGCATTTTTAAAGCCACAATTTTTTAATCTAGAATTTCTGTGGAAACCAACATCTCTGGAGAGGGAAGGAAAGGAAAGGAGAAGAGTTCAGTGGGATTTTTTTTTCATTTTCATTTTTATATAAAAGTGTTAAGACCACAAAGAAAAAAGGTTTTATCCACATATATAGTAAACCAGTTTGTGAGCTACATATTTTGTCTTTCCCAACTGCAGAAAAGTTCTCACATTAACAATGATTAGATAGTATCATGCCCAAAGACATTGGCCACACAGTGAAACAAACAGAATCCAGAAGTACTATGATACGATTGAGGTAAAGGGGAAACAAAACAATTTAACATTTGTCCACAAAGGATTGTTTTTCCCTAGATTTTGCCAGAAAAATACCAAACACAGTGATTTAAATTAAAAACAAAAAGGTCACAAAAACCTGTTTTTAGAAGTGAAAAACTAATGGGCCAGCTCCTTAGCTCAGAAGTAATCACTACTGGTTTTCCTAATAATTCACAAATTCACAGAGAAGTATAAGTCAATGTCAGGGGGAGTGGTGGCATAAAATTAAAACATAAACCAAGTACTCCACTGGTATACCCCCTTTTCCTTAAATCCCTCCACCCTCCCACACCTTCCCACCCTACTCCATACACTCTGATAACCCCAACACTTAAATCTCCATCAGGTCTAGGTCAGCTTCCTCAAAGCCATAGAAAGACTCCGTCTCACTTTCCCCCTCAAAGAGTTGGTGAAGGCTCTCAGGTTCAACTGTCTCTTCGGGAGATGATCTGAGTCGAGGGGTGGAAGCTGAGGGCTCCTCAGATTGTTCCCCATTCAGCTTCAGCTGCTCCTCAAGGGAGGCAATGAGCTCCTCCTGCATGTCAGCGTTGCGTGTAGGTGAGTTAATGTTGCCATCAGGGCCAGGCAGAACACTAGCCACAAGGAAGGACCGCTGAACTAGCTCTGGAGATTCCCCAATGACACCCAGCACCTCACTCAGCCAGACCAGCACCAGCTGAAGCAGGACTTCAGAATCACATGCAGTATCTGCCATTTCCCGGGCCTGCTCCTTCCACTTTTTGTGCAGGAAGTTCTTAACAGTTCGTTTGATGCATACATCTAGTGGCTGGATTTTGGAGCTACAGCCTGCAGGGACCACTGCAGGCAAAGTGCTAGAGGCACTAAGCAAAGCTAGTACCTCTTCTGACAAGTGAGTGCGGTGACAGTCCATCACAAGCATGCCTTTGCTGCGCTGACATGCTGTGTGCTTCTTCCACACGCGTGTGGACCAAAGCTCCATGATCTCATCATCGCTGTAGCCACTCTCCTTGGCCTCTAGTAAAATAGAGTCTGGCACATTAGCAGGCCGATCTACCTGTCCTCGGTAGAAAACCAGGGTGGGGAGGACAGTGCCATCTGCCAGAATGGCTAGCACCACATCACACCAAGGCTCCCCTGTGCCCACTGTCTGTAGAGCATTCTCCTTTCGGTCATCACTGCTCAGCACCTCTGTGTCCAGGAACAGGGAGATCTCATCAACAGCCACAATCATAGACAAGGGTAAGTTCTGGTTGTGAATCTGCCGCTGTACAAATTCAATGAAGAGTCCAGCATTTTCTGCTATCTCCTTCGGTAATGTGTGGGCTACAGCTCGTCGGGCATGGGGAGTGAGGTGGTGCCGCAGCATGAATCGCACCGCCCACTCGTAGGAGATCTTAAATCCCCCTTCTAAAGAGCGTCCTATTTTGGTGGCCTTCTGGAACAAGGTCTCCTCATTTACAGGTAGCTGTTGTTCTCGCTGGGTCAGCACCCACTCAGCCAGTTTCTCTTCTGCCTCAAAGCTGAGATATTTGCCTTCTAGATTCTCCCCCTGAGAGGCCTGGAAGCGTCGGAGCCAACGACGAATTCGTCGCTGGGGATTTCGGAAATGCTCAGCTGCCTGTTCTGTATTGCAGCATAGGGCAAACAGTACTACCCGAAGTTTCTTCACAGACAGTTGTTCCTTCTTGCCAAGCCCACTGCTGCCTCCACCACCCAATGCTGGTTCAGGCTCCTGGGTGACTGGGCTTCCTTCATCCTGGTCATCAACATTCAGACACTCAGCCCCCTCTGTGGCCAAAGGTGGAAGGGGTAATGGCTGTGGGTGAGTAGGAGTTGGTGGTGGGGTTGCAGTTGAGGCTGGTGATGGAAGTGTCTGGGCTACAGGAACTGGGAGTTCTTCTTGAGGCTCTGGTGGGGTGGCTCCAACAGATTTCACAGTGGCAGCTTTGTTTGGGAGGAAGGGAGGAGGAGGAGGAGGAGGAGTATAAGTATTCTTCAGGTTCCGGTCATGCACTCGTTCATGAATCTGGCCAGGCCTAAAGGAGTAGAGATGGGTGATTGGGGGGGGTGGGGAGGCAAAGAGAGGAGACACCAGTTAAACTTAGGAATCTAAACAATAGTAGCAATGAGAGCAAACACAATACAAAACAGAAATTAAATCATGAAATGAGTTTTGTTACCTTGAGTGAGACATCCAATTGAGCGCTGAGAAAAGACAATTAAAAATGTTAGCTCAGTGAGAAAAAAAAGAGCACTCTGTAGAGAGTATCTTGGGATTTCAACCTATTTCCCACAAATAGGCTTTTCATGGGCCAACCTTCCCTTCAGGTTACAATGTTCCCAATCTGGTGTAGTGTATCTAGAGTGAATGGGTAAGGCCAGAGAAGGATGCTCCTGGGGTCATGCGGGACTCCCCCCTCCCCCGCCCCCATCTCTACCACTTACCCCGTGGTAGGATGCTGCTGGATCTGTGGGAGGGATTGAACACCAAATGCTTGGCCATTGCATCTCCCACAGTGGTAGCAAAGGTACATGAAGTGCAAGCCAGCTTGATTCCACTGAGACAAAGAGAGCCAAGAGTATGTAAGATAAATAAGACTAGAGAAAGGGGCTTGATAAGAGAGTGTCTCACATGACCATCCCACAAAGTAACTAAAAGGACATGATGTAACAACTTACAAAACTGAAGTATCAATAAATTTTTTATTACCTCACAGAATTTTTGAACAAGGCCAAATATTTGGGGCTTTTCCGTGGAACATGATTGCTGAGAAAGACAAAGAAATGAATGAGTTCATCAGCTAAAGACAAAGCCCCACCAAAGAGATGCCATTCAATCCATCACAATCTGAATCCAAACCAGTCTGTCATACTTCTCAAACTTCAGTACAAACATGACATCACCTGAGGATCAATTATAATGCACGTTTTGATTGAGGTTTCTCCTTTCTTCCTTCCTTCCTTCCTTCCTTCCTTCCTTCCTTCCTTCCTTCCTTCCTTCCTTC